TCAGCAACTACTCAGGTAAAGCATCTGCCCTGTTATTCTAGATAATCCAGAAGTACATGTAAAGTTCGTTCGATCTATAAAATATATACTCCCTATTAATTTTTTTCATTACTATGTCCTCTTCATTGGATCTCTTCCAAGGCTAGAAATCTGAAACTACACAGGTAAAGCATCTGCCAGAAGTTCAAGCAACTATTTGGTATAAAAAAAGGTAAAACTGAATCAGAAGGAAGCAAATTATTCATATCCAAACAAAAGGCTGCAGACATCATACCTGTGCTCTCCCATTCCATGCAACAGTAACCCGCGCAAGTGATAAGCTCTAGCATATCTGTTAAAAAAGGACCAATCATTACCTTGGTGAAACAGTACTTGCACATCAGAATGAAACTGGCCATGAGAAATCAGCACAAAATACCCATAACACAGAAAATGATTTGACAAAGAAAGACAACATTACCTATTGTCAATTTGTAGAACTTGTTGTAGGCATTCCAAAGCCCGTTTATAGTTTGCCAACTCTTGATAGAACTGCCAGAAAATCACACATTCATAACAACAATACATATTAAAGCCACTTGACTCAGTTCACTGATAATCTTATTTATATCAGAGCATTTTTTTATCTAAAGAAATCCACAACAGGGGAAGAAGGATGCTTGCTTTGAAGATTACAGAAGTAAAGTTTCATCTTCTAACTCTTTTTCTAGGCAAGTTTCAACATAAGAATTCACTCAACAAAAATTGACAGATAAAGGTCTCCAGTCAGGCCATGTTTTCTAGGAGCTAATTTCAGAAGCTTATGCACAATATAATTATAACTTCCCAACATTTCATGATGATGGTAAACAGAACTTCCATGTCTAACACTCGCTTATGACGTGACACAACCACTTGAAGTATAAACACTTTTGTCCCACATTCTATAAAGGATGGCATTCACTCAGCCGAATGCAAAAGGTTATTCCACAATAGGGTGAATGATGAAAGTTTGCCAAAAACATTCCCATATATCTTAATCTATTCCCTTAAACCATGGTGGAAAAGCTCAGTTAGCTCCTCTTCTCAGAAAATGGCACTTTGATATGGCTGTTGCAGCCTTTTTAAAAGACAAAAATATAAGAAAAATTAAAAAAAAAACCATCTATTCATAAGCACCAAGGGGGTGCAAATGGCTGCAGCAGCCTTTATATGTAATTAAAAAAAAAAGAAACCTATTCCCCCAGGACAAAGATGGTAGTCGGCGGTTACCTGGGTAAGATGACCCCATCCTTCAAGAAAGTTCTTATCAAGTTTGATTGATTTTAGATATGCCTCTTCAGCCCTTTTGTATTCACCAATTGATGATAGTGCCAAACCCTGTCAAGATCATAACCATTTAATTGATATAGAAGCACAAAAGCATACTAAATTCAAAAAGTTGCTATGTTTACAGAAGTTTCATGCTAACCAGATATGTATATGCAGACTGGTTATCTTTATCAAGCTTCAGACATGTAGATAGGTCTTCAATGGCAGCATTGAAATCCTTAAACTTGAAATTAACAATTCCTGCATTAATTTTTTTTTTTGAGATAAACAATTCCTGCATTAATTAAAATCTTAAGGATAACCAGTACATTACGGAAGTCTTCTTTCTAATAGAACATACTAAGGATCTTTCCTATCACTACCATGTTGCACAGTAATTTCACAGGCAATGCAAAATATGGAGTATCCTAGAATGGCATGTTCTTCTGTCAAGGTGTGATACGAACAGCTGTTGCAAAAATAACCAGAATTTATAACTCTGATACCTAGAAACTAGTCTATATTCATGACCAAAAAGAAAAAATTGCAGATAGACGCAAATAATTATAATAATTGTTTTCCAGTGAATTAGCAAGACACAAAATTGTCTTTAATGGATGTAACAAAGAGTACGATGAAGCTTGGTACCCAGATCTAGATTGATGCAAGTTACCTCTTTCATGTAATATATCAGCTGAATTAGGTTCAAACTCCAACGCCTTTGTCAGGTCTTCAATGGCCTGGTAGCAAGTAGGTAAAAATGTCAACTGCATAATTCAATGTTCATTTAACGAGAAGTTTTAAAATTTTCCAGTTCTTTCTTCAAGTTTTCATAAGTA